CAGCTCTCTGGAAAGGCAGGGGTCAACCTCCCTGAGAGCCTCTATCAGAGTTTTGCTGCTTTCATGTCCCTTCCTCATCACAGTTTCAATCACATCTCGAGCTTTCTCTGCTCTGGGCTTCGTCTTTGCTGTCTGCATCACCTCATTAATCATAGCACCGTGCTGAAGGAGTTTATACAGCAGCTGGTTCAGCACAGAATCAGAGACTCCATTAATGAACTGCACCCGGACAGCAGACAGTCTGTCCTTTGCTTGGAGTCCTGGGATATCCTTCTATGAAGATTCCTGTCTGGGACCTTAAAGAAAAGCAGAGAAATGAAGATCAAAATCTTAAGTCAAACAGCTATTGGCTGACGGTTTAAACATGATATCAGGCTGACATGTTTTAGGACTAAAGACTCTGATGTGATTCTGGGTGGATTAGAAGAGTGACACCAGACAGTCTGACCCCAAATGGCTTTTCTCCTCAATTACTGTTCAAACATGTAAAAGTTTGAGCTGTTGATTCTTTGTGTAATTCCAGAGGTTTTAAGACTAAATCCCAGGTAAAGAATCCTGGAGTTTGATTGGACTCAGACCTGAACTTCAGCAGTTACATCAAAGCTGAAGCTAAGCCAGCTCTTTCCCTCTTCAAACTGCCCCGATTAGAGCTTTAGCCTGTTTGTGATCCTTTCCTCTGCCCTCCACAATCAGAGTCCAGTCCCCACCCATCCTCCTTCCTGCAGGTTGGACTTTTTTGCCATAAAGCCTCCACAGTGTGCCATCTAATGACCCCGAGCGGCACAGACTCCCCCCGTTAACGCTGGCTGTGGACAGGCACTCACAGCTTTTGTCTCTGGAGGATTTCTTCGTCCAGCCACCAAACCTGTGGGAGAGAGAGAGAGAGAGAGAGAGAGAGAGAGAGAGAGAGAGAGAGAGAGACTGCAGTCAGTCACTGTCCCATCATTCCCTCAGGAATAACCAGTTTATATAAAGAGACACATCAAAGTTAAGTAGCCAGTAAAGATGAGTTAAAAACATTTTGTTAAATATTATGACAGGAATCAACCAAAATAAAACATTTAAGTCTCTTTGTGTGATTAAAAAAAGCTATCTCAGTCATCCATAAGACTGAGCATGAGCACCAGGGGGCGCCGAGAGCAATTACAGGCACAGTTGGGTAATTTCTCCCCTCATTTCTTTGCATATTCGAGTGATAATTCTTATCATCAAAGCACCTTAATGCAAACTTAAATCTGCAGTCTGTTTTTCTATGTTCATTAACAATATCCATCCATCCATTATCAATACCTAGGGGGGAAGTGGAACCTGTCCAAGTGGTCAAGAGGCAGGGTACACCCTGGACAGTCCACCAGTCCATCGCAGGGCCACACACAGGACATACAAGGACAAACACTCACATTCACTCCTAAGGGCAATTTCCCCAATCTCCAATCAACCTAACATGCAGGTTTTTGGACTGTGGGAGCAAGCCGGAGAACCCGGAGAGAACCCACGCAGACACAGGGAGAACATCCACCCAGAAAGATCCTGGTTCCCCCGAGATTCGAACCCAGAACCCTCTTGCTGGGAGGCCACAGCTAACCACAACACCACCGTGCCACCCTCATTAACAATATAACAGACAAATAGTCAAGTCTTCCGATGTAGTTTCCCAGTGACACATTGGAAGGTCAAACCAGTTTCCTGTAGCTGTAAGAGTGATCAATTATCAGAATTATTGGTAAAAAATAGATGGCTGAAAAGTCATTGTGTCCCCTGGAGGCTTAGATTGGTACTGAATCTGCCTTTTTTTCTCAGGTTAATTTGAGTTTTGGACTTAGTTTTAGATTAAAAACCTTTGTGGTTGGTCTGGATACAGCTTCTTTCTTCCCCCATCCCGGCATTCATTCAAGTGCTGAATAAGATAAACAACTATGATCTAGAACAGTGGAACTGCTCAGGCTTTAAGCTCTGGGGACCCTGGAAGTAAAAAACCCTGTTGCCACGAGGCTGTTTATGCACACACAAAATGACCAGAGAGGCCTTTTAATCTCTGCATAATTAAGATCTCTGCTACCTGCAGGCCTGCAGAACACAGAGGGTGTTCAACCTGCAGCCAGAGGCAGGAAAATACAACCCAACTCCCCCTCTGCTGACCTCACAGTCTCCAGTCGACACTCAGGGCTGTCCACCAGAGCACACAGACTCTCCTTAGCTGGTTTTCCCAAGGAGTTTCCATCCAGGTACAGTTCCACTAGGTGGGAGAGGTTTGACTTCAGGGCAGAGACCAGAGACCAGCAGCTAGTCCCAGACAAGCTGCACACCTGCAGTCTGAGGAGAGCAAAGGACATCTGGGTCCAATCACATTCAGAGTAAAGACAGATGTTGCACACAGATGTGACTGTGGGTCCAATCACATTCAGCTGGTGTCTAACAACCAGCAGAGCTCCAATATGAATAAAGAACAAAAGCTGTGAGCTGAAGACTTTACCATGAAGAGCAGCACAGCTTTCAGCTCATCCTCTGATCTGAACTAACCACTAAAACCTGGAGTCTGACCTCAGAGTCTTCAGTCCACAGAGCGGACTCTGCAGAAAACTGCTCAGCTCCTTCATCACACACTCAGAGATGGGGTTCCTGCTCAGGTCTAGTTCTGTCAGATGGGAGGGGTTGGACTTCAGAGCTGAGACCACAGAAGCAGAGCTGGTCTCTGACAACATGCAGTTCTCCAACCTGAATAAAGAATAAAAGAAGTGAGCTGAAGACAGAATCACAGGTGCTGCTCATTAGCTTATAGAAATGTTACAAACGCTAGGTTCAAATTTCCGAGCGCAGGTCAAACAGAACCAGAGAAAAAGAGCTCTCATTCACATTAATGACAACATGCTGCTGCTTCATAAAGACACAGTGACTTCAGCTCTAAACTCTAGCAGCTCGACCAGTGGCTCCATCCACACACATGCTGAGCAGAATAATCATTTATGTTACTTTGATCATAATTTGAGGTGTGATTATTTCTAATATTCCTGATTCTATCCACAAAAAAACAACAGAAAGTCTGTAAAATCACAAAAATGTCTTCAGTAAGAAAGATTTTTTTTTAGATTTAATCTTCATTGTCTGAGTGCCAAAGAGCTGGAGTCTAAATCTGTTCCTTTAATGTGTTCTCAGAGCTGTGATGTCATCAGTTAGAAAGATGGACAGAAACTCAGTGGGATCAGCATTTGTCAAACCTCTGTCTCATTGGTAGCTAACTGCTTTATCATTGAGCCTATTCCACCCCTCAGACAGCTGAGTTTGAAATATTCTTTTTAAAAATAAACATAACTGTAAATAAACCCGTTCAATGCACAAGTCAGAGCACCTCTGCATCATTTTGACAAACAGCTGCCACATAGATCTCCTCAACCTGTGCCATGAATAAAGGAAATCACTCTGTTAACCCGAAAGCAACGACACAATACCACATGAGAGCAGTCTGGTGGTGGAGAGGAGGAACATGAATAATGAGCTCTGTCGGAGCTGAAGGTCAAACATTTTTATTTAGTGTGGATTCTTGTAAATAGATGTTTACCTAAAAAACTAATGAAAATCATATTTAAACAAAAATTATTAGTAGGAATCTTTTAAAGGCTCCTGGTAACCATTTAATGTCAGCACAGCTTTCAGCTCATCCTCTTATCTGAACTAACCACTAAAACCTGGAGTCTGACCTCAGAGTCTTCAGTCCACAGAGTGGACTCTGCAGAAAGCTGCTCAGTTCCTTCATCACACACTCAGAGATGGGGTTCCAGCTCAGGTCCAGTTCTGTCACATGGAAGGGGTTGGACTTCAGTGCTGAGAACATAGAAGACCAGCTGCTCTCTGACAAACTGCAGTTCTCCAACCTGAATAAAGAATAAAAGATGTGAGCTGAAGCCAACAGGATACAGGTTACAACAGTCAAACAGAACAATGAGTCTTCTGCTTCACAGCTGAGGGATCTTGTCCCACTCATCTTCGTAGAGTTGTTTTAATTCAGACAAATTAGAGGGGTTTAGAGTATGAACCGCGTTTTAAAGTGAAGCCACTAAATCTCAGTAAGAGTCATATCAGGACATTAACTGGGACACTCCAAAGTCTTCATCTGGTTTTTCTTCAGCCATTCAGAGGTGGAATAGCTGTTTCCTTTGTGTTCATTTTCCTAAGAGGGCAAACACTTTGGCATTCTGCTAAAGTGTGAAAAACCGATGAAGGAGGTTCCACCTGATGAACCCACTGACCTGCTGCTCTGACTGCTCACAGGGTTAAACAGGAATCCTGGTTTATTTGTTGAAATTAGAAAATTCACTGAATCTGGTCCAGATGTTTGTAGCACAGGTTGATTTGCTTTACTTAGAATATTAAGTAACTGAAAACAATCCTGTTTCTATCTGCCATATTCACAGTGTTTCCTGCTTATTCAACAAATCAGCATTTCACAAACTAAACCCCTGAAGGAGAAAACACACTTTACCATGAAGAGCAGCACAGCTTTCAGCTCATCCTCTGATCTGAACTAACCCCCAAAACCTGTAGTCTGACCTCAGAGTCTTCAGTCCACAGAGTGGACTCTGCAGAAAGCTGCTCAGCTCCTTCGTCACACACTCTGAGATGGGGTTCAGGCTCAGGTCCAGTTCTGTCAGATGGGAAGGGTTGGACTTCAGAGCTGAGACCACAGAAGCACAGCTGGTCTCTGACAAACCGCAGTTCACCAACCTGAATAAAGAGTAAAAGAAGTGAGCTGAAGCCAACAGAATGCAGGTTACAACAGTCAAACAGAACCAGAGAAAAAGCTCTCATTCACATTAATGACAACATTCTGCTGCTGCTTGAATATTTAAATATTTGATAGAATTAGGCACAGAAATAGAGGATAGTGTAGAATAATCCCTTATTTATGAAATCATAATGATACACACTAAAACAAGGACATATAATAAAAACATGGAAAACAGATAAGGCCCATTTCCACTGGTGTCTATTCAGCTCAGCTCTGCACGTCTTTTTTATTTTCCACCAAACAGTTACATGTTGTGTCGTCTCCTCATCTGACTCATTTCATGGTCCTGTTGATATTCTGCTGCATGTTAGGATGCTGATGACAACTAGACTTATGTTTAGGCTCAGTTTCAGATTAACTAAACACAGCTGGATAGAGCCAGCATCAGTACAGCGTTACTGTGATGATCCTCAGTCTGGATCAGGGAAACATCAGTCTGACACAAAGTTTAACATAATTTTACATCACACTGATCCTGAAATACAACTAAACATAGTTTCTGACCTCAGAGACTCCAGTCTGCAAAGATCACTTCCCAGGAGACCACACAGCTGTTTCACTTCTGAATCCTTTAGGTTTTTGTAACTCAGGTTCAGTTTTCGCAGGTCAGAGGGGCTGGACTCCAGAGCTGAGGCCAGAGGAGCACAGCTGATCTCTGACACACAGCAGCGCTCTGATCTGAGGAGAAATGAAAAAGGGACAATACTTTTGACAGAATATGCTTTGATGTGCTTGCATATTCTAAGTGGGAGCATTTAACTCATTAGCTGCCAAAGACCTCTATAGACGTCAATTCAAATACAACCGTTGAGTACCAAACACGTCTATACACGTCTTTTAAGTTTTTCAACGAGTGGCTGGGGGACGATCTGCTAAAGCTTGTCCGTAAATATCAGGCTTCTAGACAGAGTATGTAGTAACAAATTGACCCTCTAGGGGGCAGTGCCACTTTTGATGGGAGATGAGCATAGACTGTAGGCAAATAAGAAAAAGGTAACGGTTCGCTATGAGAGAACATGTCGCAGGTGAGACGCACGTCCAGGAAGAACGTAATAAGGTAGAAAACAAAATCTTTTCCTGATGAAAGAAGAGAGTCTACTCTTTCTTTTGGTGTGCTCGGTGTTTACATAGTCATAGAACAAACTATTCTGTGGCTCTTGAAAAATCAGTCAAATTGCTCAAAAAACTCTGGCAGTATGGGATTCTCTGTTCTAAAAATGGCTGGCAGTCAATGAGTTAAGAATGATCATCTGTGTTTCCTCACATGAACTAAAACATCTGGATGAAGATCCATCAGTTTAACTGTAGGAAAACATAAAGACCTCCAACAGTTCCATTCAGTAAACTGACCTCAGAGTCTTCAGCTTATAGTCTGGACTCTCCACCAGCTCAGACAGCTGCTTT